ATGAAGGGTTGATGTCGTCCCAGAGTAGACGCAATGAAATACTACTAAAGCCTATGGACATAAACAGGAAACTGTAAATCAAGAAGTCCTCAGATTTTTTACAGTTTATACTATAGTGATTTTGTTACCATCTTTTATATTATAATACTTTTTTAGGGTAGGGTGACAAACGAGCACACAGATCACCCGATGGTAAGTGGTTGCTGTGACCCATAGACATCTATACCATACCATAGACATTTATCCTCAATAAAGAATCAAAATGCAAGCCAACCCACTCGTGCGACAACTATACTACTAATATAGCTGCACTATACTACTAATATAGCTGCACTATACTACTAACATGGCCCTACCACGTAAAAAGTCTTTAACAATTTAAAACAAAAAGTATGAACAAAGTTCATACTTTGTTCAGGTGAATTATTTATCAGTTTGGTAGCACAGTGTATAAAATTTAAATGAGGTGCTGCGGGCCGCAAGCTTTTTTACCTGACATGAATGTGTGTATGTGCGTGCGTGCGTGCGTGCGTGCGTGCGTAAGTGCGTGCGTGCGTGCGGGTGTGTGTTTGGGTGGGTGTGAGTTTGTGTGTGTGTGTGTGTGTGTGTGTGTGTGTGTGTGTGTGTGAGCGTGTGTGTGCGAGTGTGCGCGTGTGTGCGTGTGTGCGTGTGTGTGCGAGTGTGCGCGTGTGCGCGTGTGTGCGTGTGTGCGTATGTGTGCGAGTGTGCGCGTGTGCGCGTGTGTGCGTGTGTGCGTATGTGTGCGAGTGTGCGCGTGTGCACGTGTGTGCGTGTGTGTGCGTGAGCGTGCGTGTGTGTGCGTGTGTTGCGTGTGTGTGCGTGTGTGCGCGTGTGTGCGCGTGTGTGCGCGTGTGTGCGTGAGTTTGTGTGTGTGTGTGTGTGTGCGTGTGTGCGTGTACGTGTGCGTGCGTGTGTGTGTGTGTGTGTGCGTGTGTGCGTGTGTGTGCGTGTGTGAGCGTGGGTGTGCGTGTGTGTGCGTGGGTGTGTGCGTGCGTGCATGCGTGTGTGAGCGTGCGCGTGCGCGTGCGCATGCGCATCTGCGTGTGAGTGTGAGTGTGAGTGTGTGTGTGAGTGTGAGTGTATGTGTGAGTGTAAGTGTCAGTGTGAGTGTGAGTGTTATGTGAGTGTGAGTGTGAGTGTGAGTGAGTGTGTGAGAGTGAGTGATGAAGTGTGTGTGTGTGAGTGTGCGTGCGTGCGTGTGTGTGTGTGTGTGTGTGTGTGTTTACGTATTTGTGTGTGCGTGTGCGTGTGTGTGTGCGTGTGCGTTTGCGTGTGCGTGTGCGTGTGCGTGTGTGTGTGTGTGTATGTGTGTGTGTGTGTGTGTGTGTGTGTGTGTGTGTGTGTGTGTGTGTGTGTGTTTACGAAATACTGCTAAGCATTATAAATTACTTAAAAATCATTTTCCATCTCGACACGAAAAGGATTTTAACAATCTAACCTACATCAATATGCCCATTTGCATTTAAATCAAATGACGGGAGTTAATCTGACCCGTGTCCGTGACCAGGCAACCGGAAGGGCCTCAATGATCCGGGTATATTAACGAGTCAGTAATTATTCGGAACGTTCTCGTTCACGACCACGTAAAGAAGTTTGTTTTCAAACTTGAGTTGAGTTTGTAAATAAACATGGGCTAAATTTATATTGCAAATGTAGCAACTTTTGGAATTAACAATGCTCAACTAATGACGATGAATGCAGGTGGCTTCGGATCGCAATTTGTGGCAATTTATGAAAATATGAAACCATGAAGTTAGTATTAGGAAAATCTGTGGTGTCGTTTGTATCTTTTTTATATAAAATTGTGGCCCATAAATATCTACATGTCAGAGCGTCTATAAAATACCCGGTTGGATCGAGGTGGAAATGAGGGTATATATAGAAGCCCCCACTTGTTTGTGCAGTATAAAGTTCACTGTAGGTGCCGTGCGCGAGAGAGTCCGCTTAAGTCATTCAACCAGTGTGGTAATTCTACTAGTGCTAAGATGGCGTCGTGGTTCTGTTCGTTGTTGTAATTCTTCTAGTGCAGGCAAGGAGGATTGGTATTGATGAGAGGCTGCCCTGTGTTACATTGTGATAAGTAGTGTTGCTGTTCGTTTACATATTTAGGTGTTGTCATATAATTATGTTCTTCACGTTACACTGATGTGTGATTGTGGCGGAGACGTTAACACGTATGGTCGAACTGTAATTTCACTATACTGAATGTATAGTGCGTTACGTTGTCTTATTACTGATGATGATTAATTGTGAAAGCAAGAGAGCAAGTTGAACAATTCTCACTCTCAGACTTTTATTATTTTTAACAGTTAACGCTATCCTGATGTATTTCCAAGATCAAAATCGGGATCTCCTCTGTTGTAATCTCCGATATACATACATTTTCAATGAAGAATAAAAATGCAGGAGCTTTGTCACATTGAGGACTAATATTGCTTCGTTTCCAGTAAAAAGGTTCTCCGATTCTCTACACTCACCATACAAAACACAGTATCATTCTGTTGTTTCACGCTGGTATTCTGTGAAAGCGTTGTCCTTTTCCGAAAATTTCATAGAATATTTTTGCAATAAACGCAAACTTTTTAGAGTTTTCCACAACCATCATTAAATACTTCACACTGTTGTTGGAAATGACTAAAGACGTTATTAATTATCATAAGACGTTAATCCACATGTCCGATCCATTTAACTTTACTGTCCGCAGACACGGGTTAGAGTAACAGCGTCTATTATTTTAGATGCTTTAATACTTACTCGTATATAACTTCAATATAACATGGACAAATTAGACTGTAATGTATGTAGTATGCCTATTTCTTTGAACGCTCAGTAGCCTAAAGGGCTTGATGGATTTTAACATGTGAGGTGTAGTTAGATCGTAATAATGGGAGTGACACCCACTATTAATATATATATACAAATAAATGAAATTGAAGCGTCAGTTTGCGGGTGAAGTCGCGGGGAACAGCTAGTATATATATAAATATATGTAACACACACACACACACACACACACACACATATATATAAGACAGTTTTAATCATTTTTAAAACGATTATTGCGTGAATTTTCACAAAATGTTGTTATTGATTTAACACCGTAAAATGAAAAACCATTTTTTTTAAATAATATTTTTGTCAAGTTATCTATACAATAAAAAAATCGGTTTGTAAGAGTTCGGTTGTAGTCGTTCAAAATACTGCATTTGCACTGTGTAAAATGAAAAACGATTATTTTAATAATATTTGTGTCGAGGGATCTATACAGGCAAAAACCGTGGCTTGCGAGTTCGGTGGTAGTTGTTCATAGGTGGCAGTGCTTACTTACAATCAGGTGAGCCGTATGCTCATTTCTCCTTTTCTCTGTAAAAAACAATAATTTATTCGTCTATGTCACGGTGAGCTGGAAAAAGGATAAGTAAGTACAGTGCTCTCTGAGGCGTAACTCACATTAATCTTGCCAGTGACGACTGGATTAAGGTCCGTTCGTCCAGTGGGATTAACATTGAAGGCATGGAAGATAACTGTGCAATAATATATCAAAGAGTTTTTATATAAACCTAAAATTTAATATCTGTGTAATATTGATTAAAACCACTGTCCTGAGCTCTTAAAATATGTTTTAATTATGCACATATTCTGAACTAATACAATAGTAATATTATTATATTATTAGAGTTTAAAAAACTTAAACAACATGAATTGATCATGAGATGTGATGATCTTGATGAGAATACTAAGTGATGATCATAAAATTATTTTAATTTCAGATTATTCAAATATCCCGTATTGGTTTCAAACTTCGTTATAATATTCCATAATATTTATGCATATGTTCATACATTAAAGAAAAGCTAATAAAAGCTTGTTTAAAAAAATTATATCAAACATTTGCTATGAAATTGATATGTCATGACACTTTTCTTTAAATTTTAGTCGATTAGTAATTGTTTTTAATTTTTCGTAGGTAAAACATTTTTAATTATTAATCGGAATTATTAAATTATCTTACGGTTTCCGATAGATCCCACAGATCAACTCAGATCGGCGACGGGAAGTTGCATTGCTTTTAAGCGGCAAAAGTGATACACTAATGTTTAGCTGCATCTGTGACACATTGATATTTAGCGGCAATAGTGATAACCTGTATTTAAGTGGCAACAGTGACATATTACTATTTAGCGGCTATTGTCACACACTATTGTATAGCTGCAACAGGGACACATTTTTGCTTAGCGGCAACATTGACACATTGTTGTTTAGTAGCAACAGTGGCACATTGCTGTTTAGCGGCACCAATGACTTAATATATTATAAATTTATATAATATTATTAATTAATATTAAATATATATATATATATATATATATATATATATAATATTTAATTTACGAATATATTTATATTATGAATTATGTGTTAATATATATAAATATATAGATATATATGTATTTACTTACGATATTATATCATAATCTCAGTAGCCTAATGGCAGGGCACGGACCGCGAACTCGAAAGGTCGTGGGTTCGAATCCGTCATTCGACTACTGTCGTGAACCACTTCTAACACAAGTATTGTAAGCTTACCAGAAGTGGTTAAAGGAAATATTAGTAATGTGTAATCGCATTACTAGTATTTTAGATTATAAAAAAAAAATCTATTATGTTAAATATAATGTGTAATTATGTTGGTTTACTCTTTTTTTTTAATTACTTACTACTCTTTTAATTACTACACCTACGACAAACTCACCACTCTATGAGTTGACATTAAGTCCGCCTTCTGTATTCTTTTTTTCCAAAGGAACGCAATAAATATTAAAAAAATAACTTTTATATTTAGCGGCAATAGTGACACACTAAAATTTAGCTACAAAAAGCACACTTTTTGTGAGGTACCTACATAGATAGACTCCGTATAGAAAAAAAGTCCCACCACTAAATTTATAATAATATTCCAGTAGATATTAAAGCCTTACCTTAGTCCAGGAACGTTTGTTACAGGCACCCCGTCCTCTGTTAGCCATGTTATTGTAGGAGCTGGTGTACCGTGTGCTGCACAGGATACTCTGGCTCCGGTACTGTTTGAGAAAGATAGCCTGGGCGGTGGCTCCATTAGGAAGATGAGTTGGCTCAGCACTGGTGATCCTGTTGAAGAAATAAAACATATTATTACTGTCATAGTTTCTTTTTTCGGCTAAAGCATTCATCATGGAATTTAGGACCTAGTTGGGAGGGTTTACCAAGAGTGACACGTTTGGCAAGAATTAGCAATCACTGTGCCCGATGTCTTGCAATGCTGATACTAGTTTTATTACCAGTGCGGATATTTAAGGCAACGATAAACTTAAGTACTTAGTTATTTTACCATATGCAATTGTGATAATATATTTTATAAGAGACCTTCCAAAAGAAACCAGGTCATATAAATAGACTTTGTCCAAAGAATAAATATAGAGTAAACTGTGACTTCGTCAGCGTGGAGTACATTATTATTAAAACCCCAGACTATTAATAAGCAGTTACACCTGAACGTAGGTCTTGTACTGGTAAGTGGAGTTTAAAGCGACTCCCACTGGTTGGATTGATGACCTGGAACGTCATGTTGGAAGTCAATAATGCAGGTGTATCAGGATCGTGTTTTGTTTTATTCCCTATAGAAGGTCTATGTTGAGAAGTGGACTTCTGAGAAACTGCAATAATTGAGAAGTTTTATTCAATTCAGATGCGATGATTCAGGCTTATGGGGGTAAGAAGAAAAAGTTTAAACTACCAATAATGACAAGAAGCTCAGCTCAGAATTAAGCAGTTTATATTATTTCTTTAAAAATGAATTTACAAACAACCGTACAGTCCGTGCAATATAAAATGGCAATTGCAGTCCATGTGTTTGCAAAACTAAACTACTAACTGACAATCCATCTAATGTAATCTCGGAGTACTAAGATGGAATTCCTCACAGTCTTTAACTATACTGGCTCCCAATATACTTACTACAGACTGAAACACAGCAGTACACGCATTGCTATTTGACGACATAAATAGGTAAGGGCATTGAGTTATATTTACTACGTACTAGAGAAGCCTTTCTAAACAAAATATGTGCACTACTCTACGTCTTCACGCATGCGCGTGAGTTGGTAAAGTCGCGCATACGCAGTTGATTTCTTATGTAATGTTACGATATTATTACCTATTTATTCACTTGAACAACCAATAATTTTACTTACTTGACTACTGAATTGTTATTTACCTCCAGGTTTAAGCTTTAATTTGAAATCTTTTAGTATTAGCGCCGCTCCACACTGCATGAATATTGAACCACAGTAACGTAAGTAAGACTAAGTAGTAGATTGAAACCACACTAAATGACACACTGTACGGATTGCAGTTCATTTGAACATAGTGTATGTTCGGAATGCGCAATCTAGTACGTAGTACATATATATCGATGGGTAAGGGTGTGGTATCCACGCAAACAGTCTCCGAAGCATACATAATATATTTTAAAAAGAAAGTAAGAAAATTAAAAATAATATTGTTATCTTTTTTTTTCTGTATTCGAAATATAAACGAAATAAAATTACTACTACTTCTCCTGAATTATTTAATATAAATACACTATAAAAATATGCCCTTATTCATCATAGGATGATTCTAGAAGTCGGTTTATATTTTTCATTGATATGAAAATAAAATTAAGACCATACGGCCTCCGATAGGTAATAATATATGATCTAGTTAATGCACGACGTAAAATAAGCAGAACAGCAATTTCTTCTAGCTTGAATTTAAGCTAGTTCCTCCCGTCGAAAACACCCTTATTGTCGGCATATCAGGTGTGATTGATATTTTAAGGTTTAGTGACTAATTGGTGACTTTCATTTACTAAAATTGAAGCATATTGCTTCAACGAAACTGGTTAAGCTATTAATATATATTAGGGAGGATCTTAGCTTAAAGATTATATATCATAGAATAACTCCAGAAAGCTATGTGTCGCTGTGACCAATTTGTCAAGATTTAGTAACTAATTAATGACTGATAAGTTTAAACACAGTTTAAATTGATCAATTAGAACAATTTGACAATTTTAGCAATTGAATTTTATAGGCTAATAATGACGACGGAGAATAAAGGACAAACAATATATTTGCTGCTTGTTTGATACTGAAATTAATTACGTTATTTTCGTAAACACTAAAGAGTTTTTGAACAAAGAGCTCACATTTAAATTGCTTTAATGTGCCCCTTTATCCGATTTTCAGAGATCCGTAGACAAAACTTAATTAAAATTCAGACAGGCTCGTTTAGTGTTCGAGTGAACACTGCACACTGTCGTTGTATTATTTGTCATGAGCTAGAAGCTTGAACTATGGTATGCTTTGAATCGTGGAATTTATCGTAGCTACGACATTTTAATTTTTTTTTGAAGTGAATACTATTTTAGGCGCCTAATGTGATTTTTGGAGGGGTAAAATCTTATGGGTTCGCATCGCCAACATGCTAATGTTAACATTATATTTGTAGCTATAATTTTAGCATCAGTATCTATAGAAAACTGAGAGCTATTATTACCATCAGATTTCACTTTAGACTGTATATACGTGGTAGAGTCACGCTACAGCTATATAATGGCTTAAGCACAAATGAGTCTACTCGATCGGGGAAGGGCCACACTCTCACAGAGTACCATTACCGGACGGTGTTAAGAGAACCGGAGACCTTTTTATTGGAATGCTTGGTCCTCGGAGGACTACGCATCTGCATATTGATTCTGAATCGAAGACGATATGATTATGTAGATGTCTATAGACCACAACAACTTACCATTGGGTGGACTGTGTACTAATTTGACACCCTTATTCTATATATAAAAAAAACTACTGAATTCAGGCCTTTTAATTAATAGGCAAACTAATAATTAATGCATTGCATAAATATTTTTTTTTTTTTAGAAAACGTTACCCCCACACTAGGATTTTCTCCTGTATCGTGGAGGCAGTTTACAAACACAAATTGCACAAGGACAAACATCCAGACCCGGAACAGTTATTTGTTGGTCATACAAATACTTGTTCCGTGCGGGATTCGAACCCGCGGCTCCCAGCGCATTAACTCATTGCTAAGCCACTGCGCCAAGGAGCCGTCAATAAATGTTTAGTTGTTATTAGGAAGACGGATTTTTACGTGGTAGCGCCATGCTGCAGCTACGAGTATATTAGTTGTATAGTTGTAGCACGAGTGGGTTGGCTCGACCGGGGAAGGACCACGCTCTCACAGAATACCAGCGTAAAATAGCAGCTTAACACTGCTGTGTTTTGTATGGTAAGTGTAGAGAACCGGAGACCCTTTTTACTGGAAAAGAGGCATTCCATCTTAGTCCTCACGGGTAACAACGCATCTGCATTTTGATTCGCAAACGAGGATAGATGTAGATGTCTATGGGCCACAGCAACAACTTACCATCAGGTGGACTGTGTGCTCGTTTGTCACCCTATCCTATAAAAAAAAACGCTGCTGTCTATCTCCCGGTTTGTTTACCTCTCCATCCTCTAAGACTCTGGTCGGGTTTGGACACCCACGGGACGATACACCATGTAGTGGACGTTCTTACACTGCCTCTAAGATTTTTTTATAAGGGTGACAAACGAGCACACAGTCCACCTGATGGTTAGTGATTGCTGCGGCCCATAGACATCTACATCTATCCTCTATTACAAATCAAAATGCAGATGCGTTGTCACCCGTGAGAACTAAGATGGAATGCCTCATTTCCAGTAAAAAGGGCCTCCGGCCACCTGCACTCACCAAGCGAAACGCAGAGGTAAACCTCTACTTCACGTTGGTATTCTGTGAGGTCGTGGTACCACCCCGGTTCGAGCCGGCCCATCCGTGCGACAGCAAAAGCCGCCACGTGGTTCTACCACTGTTGAAATACTTGATGGTGAAGCTACACAAATTTGTCTCTTTTGCCTCCTCATAAATAAAAAACATATTTTATGTATGGTAAACTAGTCGGTGCAGGCCTGACCCAACGTAAAAATATGCTGTAGCGGATATTCTTACACCGCCACTATACGGTGAAGCTCCACAACCCTATCTAAAACCTTTATGGATGTTAAACCAGTCAGTATAGGCCTCGTTGATTGTGACACAAGCAATAAATAATAAAGATTTTAATGCCTGTATCGACGCAGCGCTCCACCAAACGTAGTCAGCGTTTGCCACCCACTCGGTCATATGACTTTTCCAAGTATAAAATGCATTGAAATTTTCTGGTTTCGACCTAAAAAACTATTTGGATCATTTTTATTTATCCAAATGTTTGTTTTTTTATTTTTTAAGAACAAGACCCTAATGTTTAACGCAAACAAAACAATCGTTTAAAGGAACACACGTATACTGTGTACTTTATATATTTTTCTTAATATTAGTCTCGACGGTGGGTTGAAATGCGGAACAATGGGTCCGGACGAGGGACGAAAATAATCCTGCGTATTTTAAGTATTCCAGTGTGAATGGTCTGCGAGCTTACATTACAGAAACAAGTGTTCCAATATTTAAAAAAAATATACCAGGTTTTCTTACATTGTCGTCCGTTGCTATGTTTAAAATTTCAAGTCTCCAGCCCTTCGGGAACAGGCACACATAAAAGCTAGTTGATAGACACGTGGTATAATAAAATAAATATGCATGTCAAAATTCTATAAGATACCACTTGTGTATGATTACTGTGCTAGGTTATACACTAACGCAGTAGCTACACGCCAGTTATAGTTTAGTATGGATTTTAAGAGAATTTGTCAGGATGCTTTTATTTTTTGCAAACCTTGCAAGACAAGACATCGTAAACTTCCACTTTGAGAGTAAATTAAAAAAAGCTATCTGCAGTTATAACTATCAACCAGACGGCGGTATGGCGATCTCGTTTACGACCAGATGCGACTAGACGGCAGTATAAGCACATCGTTTACGCCAGATATAAAGTACCCGGACCGGTGCTGGGAAGCAGCGTTAAACGTGCAAATCGTCTTTTTCTTTTACTTTTCTTTCTTTTTTTAAATATTTACCCCTCACTAGGATTTATCCATTATCGTGGAGGAATTTCACACACATAAATTGCATTTATAGCAAGAAACCAGACAAAGACCGATTTTACTGGAAAAGAGGCATACTATC